AATATAAGTCATAATAACCCTATGGTATAGTGAAAGATCAAAATTTCATTTGGCTAATATGGAATATTTATTGTTTAACGAAATTTATTAAAGAAAAAAATAGTTTTCATAAAAGTATTAAGAAAACTGGCCTGTTATGTTCCCAATTTCGTAGAGTAAAATGTATAATTTTATTAACAATTTTATCAAACGGGAAAAAATGTATAATGACTTCAAACATGTACTTCTTTCAATCCATGGTTATATCAATTTACCAAATCAAAGCTAGTTAAGAAAATTTAAACCTATAAGAGTTTAAAAACATTGGTAATATTCCACTCACCTATTTCATTGTTTAATTCAATATTAGATAGAAATCTATTATTCATTTCCATGCTAATTTGTGAATATGACACAACTAATGAGATTTCCCACACTAGTAAGATGCCAGGGCTACAAGTTTATTGTTTCCAAAGAAATTCTTTTTCACACACCAAAAACTTGTTTACTGTTAAACTAATAAATAAGACAAAATATCTGGGATTACTTCCTTTGTAATACTTTAGAGAAGGAATGATCCACTATGTTTTGCCAGTAAATCTGCAACCATCAAAAATGCAAATACCATTAGCAACACTTCAAACACAGTATTAATATTCAATTTAATAAAAATGTATCTTTGAAAATTTTAAATTTACCAGTATCTCATATCAGGCCATAAACTTAATTGAAGTGTACATTAAGATGTCGATTTTTTTTGTATGTTCCCGCCATCAACGGGCTTTGTTTACAGAATGATTGTGTTGTGATGAAGCAACATTTTGGTAGAATTTATTTAAATTCTTATTGATATATAAGGTTAAATATCTTATTAAAAAGTTTAAATTAATCTCCTGTTAGTTAGTTGCTAGAAATAAAAATAAAAAGTTTTGGTCGTCTATAAATAAAATATACTGTTAATAATAAATGTATAACTATAATAATGCAAACACAAAATATATACAAAAATATCCTATATTTTTAATGCTTAAAACTTATTTGACCTGAGTATAAAATTACATCAACTATAATGACACATGCCAAAAAGATGTTAAATTAAAATTGTATATATGCCCATTATATACAAAACTAAGTAGATGTGGTATGATTGCCAATGAGACAACTACCAACCAGGGTCAAAATGACATGGATGTAAGCAACTGTAGTGTCCAATGGCATAATGCAAAGAGTTAGTAATAAAGTCAAGTTCAAATAACTTAAATGTAACATTTCACAATTGCTTGCATAAATCCAACACTGGAACCCGAAAATTATTTTCATCAAGATTATTAACATTTCCATGATGCATAAGGTTTACAGGACATTGTAAATTACATATAAAACACTTATAACCATTCAAAATCTCTACCCTAGAAAAATCAGACCCCCTATAGATCTTTATAAATTTGTTAATGACACATTAGATTTCAAATATAAAAAAGATGTGGTATGATCGCCAATGAAAGTCTTCTATAATGAAAGAAAGCATGGAAAGCAGAAATGTTTCTGCATATTGTAATCACCATACCATCAATTAAACTTTCAATGGACAACTAAAATAACTTCAACTTCGTAAATTATTTGGCTTTTTAACTTTTTTTTATTCAAGCGTCACTGGTGAGTTTTTTGTAGACGAAACATGCGTCTAGCGTAAAAAATTATAAGTCTTGTATCTTTGATGAGTTTATTTTCAACTTGACCAAAAAATATACTTTAAAACCCAGGAAACTAATAATAAATGGTATCAGAAAACTAATAATGAAGGTTATCAGGAAACAGCTGATAACTAATCATGAAGGGTATCAATAGACTAATAATAAAGTGTATCAGGAAACTAATCATGAAGGTAATCAGGAAACAGCTGATAACTAATCATGAAGGGTATCAATAGACTAATAATAAAGTGTATCAGGAAACTAATCATGAAGGTAATCAGGAAACAGCTGATAACTAATCATGAAGGTATCAATAGACTAAAAATAAAGTGTATAAGGAAACTAATCATGATAATCATGAAGGCTATCATTAGACTAATAATAAAGTGTATCAGGAAACTAATCATGAAGGTTATCAGGAAACAGCTGATAACTAATCATGAAGGTTATCAGGAAACAGCTGATAACTAATCATGAATGTCATCAATTGACTATTAATAATAAAGGATATCATGAAACTAATCAGGAAGATTATCAGGAAACAGGAAACAGCTGATAACTAATCATGAAGGGTATCTATAGACTAATAATGAAGTGTATGAAGTATCTAATCATGAAGGTTATCAGGAATCAGCTGATAACTAATCATGAAGGGTATCGATAGACTAATAATGAAGAGTATCAGGACACTAGTAATGAAGGGTCTCAGAAAACCAGTAATGAAGGGTAAATTTTTAAAAACACTTGATAATAATGAATAAATGTCATATCACAGCAGGTTGTTTAACATTGTAATTCTACAACCATTATTTCCAACCTACTTTTTTGTTACTAAAATTTTCAAAACAGGCCGTACATAATATCAATACAAATAAGAATATGTTTTTATTCTAAAATAACTTGAAGTGGTTGACTGTCATATCAATGAAAACCAAAAGTCAATTCTTTCTTTCTTTGGAGTTATAACCCTATTGTTCCACTCCAAACATTAAAGTCTCTATGATTGCATAACCTGAATAACCAGCTGTGACTGCTACTGATTCATTGTAAAGAAAACAATGTCAAAATAGGATTAACTGTTTATTTCAAAAATAGCTTTTGGTAACACATGAGATATGATTACTTAATTACTAAGTGATGTGTGGTAGGGATAAGCCGCTAGAATAGGTCACTATTTCAAACATCATGATATATGGCAAGGTTAAGTAATTGAGGAGAAATGAAATATATGACAAGGTTGCTAACTGATTCATAAGTATCTGAAACTAATCAGATGTCCATTTTTCCACAGATGCTATTAAAACCACAGTCGTAAATACATCATATATTTTTAAATCTATTTTCCCCATGAAATAGCATGATCATGATAGCTATAGGTATATTTTTTGTCAAAAATATAATTAGGTATGTATTTTTGCTATTCGAAATATATGAAAATGGTGGGAAATTGAATCATGCAGCTAATCACCCTACCATGAAAGGATTGAAGTGATTTAATATGCTAATATTAATTAAGAAGGAAGGGGACATGTAGCTACTGATCAATAATAACTGTTTAAATAACAGTGAGCTGTTTATCAAAGTTTTTTTTAAATTTAAGGTATTTAATGAGGTCAATTATTATATTAGTTTTTGAGACTTATAACAACTATCTGCTTAAACATTTTACAAACATTTCTGAGGGTAAATAAATATAATTAAATATTAAAAAAAAATTAAATTATATAATTGATGGAAATAGATATGAAATATGCTATTTCAAGAAATATCAATCCTTTGAAATACAAAAAAATAGTTTACAATATAATTTTCAAATCAGAATATGAGAAGAAAATCCATATAACTGTTTATTTGTGCTTTACATGATAGCAATTGAATCATGTTAAGCTTTTTTTAATGCAAAGTTATTAAAGTATATCAATTCACCAAAAAAATACAAATTTAAATCTATTGAAAATAATATGTATATTTCTATTTCTATAATTGTGTGCTGAGTTGTGAATTTTTTGGGATCATGCTATTTTTTTTTTGGACAAATGAAACTGATGGTCAGCATGTTCGAAGTGCCCATTGGTTATACAAATATGACATTAAATAAATTAAATAAATTTCTCCTCCATTTTATTTCTCCCCCCTCCCCCACTAACGGTGTGGGGCAATGCATTGTTACACAATCATTCGTTTGACAATCAATCAGTTGTCCTGACCTTTTTGGATGATGCCTACAGATATTGGTTTTATTTTGGCACATTTGTGCATAATGATGACTGTAAGATAACTTATGCATTTCTTTCACTTTGACAAAACTTTCGGCACAATTACATACTTAAGTCTTAAAAATTCTTAAAAATTGCACTGGTCATAACCTTCTTTTTGTAATGCATGCAGATCTAGTGGTAATTTTTCTACATTTTGCTTTTCCATCCTGCTGATGGACTTTTGGTGGAATTACTGACCTAGGAGCTAGAAAATTACATGACACATCTAATTTACAATATGTCATTTGAAATTTTATATGAAAGTGAGCCTTTCTTATGTCATAAAATAAATGAAAAGTTCATCTAAAAAGAGTGTCAGATTCTAATAGTGAATCCTTTGTATTATAGCAAATCCCAATTATAGATCTTTAAAATGTATACCCATCATGATTGGAGAAATATTGTATCACATGTTATGTAGTATAATAATGTATAACATGTAAGTATATACAACTGTCATACAAATGGGAGGTTTAGCTAGCAATAAAAGCAGATTTAACCCACAATTTTCCAGTCAGGAATATGACAGTTGTTTTCCATTCATTCCGTTGGTTGATAAATTCTAATGTTTGATTTTTGTTTTTATGGACTTCCCCCTTTTTGAATTTACCTTGGAGTTCAGTATTTTTGTTATACTTTTAAAGACTTTCTTTTCAATAATTAAATCATTTTCTATTTTATTATTGAAAGGACCGTCTTAATATAATTCCTATTCAATGTAATTGATCTCAATAAACTGGTGAGAAAATAATAAAACTAAATGACTGTAAATGAACATCTGAACAAAGTTATCTATTGGAAAACATAATCTTAGGCTTTGACAAAATTTTCTTAAACCTAAAATCTAGTAATTCTTTTAAAAAATATTTTCATATACTGCAAATTCAGAAATTTTTGTGAGGTTTTTATTGATATGAATAATGCAACTTGGTGAGTATTGCAATAATAAGAATTTGCATTCTGATATCTGATATATGTATCTGTATGCATGCAGCTTTTCCTAAAATGGCAATAACTTATTTCACATTTTTGTCCATTCTTCAAAAATCATAATAATAAATGCACACAATAATTTCTGAATTTGTATTTATTTATGTAACAAGTGTATATATCAGCTATAAAATATTCAAAATCTGCTCAAGGTATGAAGAACACATCTTGAATTCATGAAAATAAAAAATTAACCTCATGTTTCATGTGTTCATTAATACTCTTTTAATATTTTTGATTTGCATATATGACTACACTGAGATTAGAATGATGATGCACCACATAGTTTCCTGATTTCTTCAAAAGATATCCAGAATGTTAATGACCATGGAGCCTGAAAGAAAAATCAATATTAAAAATCCAATACTCAACCTTTATTTTTTGTGGGGTTCCTGTTGCTCAGTCTTTAGTTTTCTATGTTGTGTTTTGTGTACTTTTTTTTCTTTCTGTTGGTCTTTTTCTTTTCTAGCCATGGCTTTGTCAGTTTATTTTCGACTTATGAGTTTGAATGTCCTTTTGGTATCTTTTTCCTATTCTAATTTCAAATATATATTTTTGAATTTGAGCACTAAGCCATGGAATTTGTGAGTTTTTACATATAAATGAAGTACTGAAAGAACCAATATTAGTCCAGAACTAAAGAGTATCAGGCAAGGTTATCATAGCTGACAACTAAAACACCAATGTATTTTACCACCATTTTTCTTCCAATAGACTTTATTTCAAATAAATTACTTTTCAAATGCTTTAAAAGACCCACAAAAACAAATTGATACAACATTCCTCATAAAACTATAGTCACAAAGGTATGTTTTTTCCAGTTTGTAGAAAAAATAGGAAACAATATTTTGATAAACATCCATAATACTATATGTACTGGAGAGGACAGCACTTACCAAGTGCTTCTAATAAATTTAGAGAGGAGGAAGATACCAAAGGTAGAATCAAACCTCAAAAGATGAAAAGAGATCAACACAATCATGGCAAAAAAATGCATTTGTAAGATAAAAACTACATATCTATTTTATTTTTACTTGGATCAATGAACTAGAGGTAACAAAGAGCCTGTATCAGTCACCTGTTAAATTTGCATAAAAAAGCTGCAATGCAATGAAAATAATTCAAATAGTTCCTAGAAAAAAACACACAAAATAATGTAGCATTATCTTTAGAAGGCAATAACTCTTATAAGTAGTGGACTGGTGATTTCAGGCTGGTTGACTGATTTGTAGCTAGTGTCCAGCTGACTATTTCAGCTTTTTAAAGTTTCTCTCAATCTACTTAAACACGATATGGTTCAAAATTGTGATTCAAGGGCAATAACTCCTATAAGGAGTCACCTGACAATTTAGGCCATGTTGACCTTATAGCTGATCTTGTCCTGCTATATATAGTTTCTTTTAATCTACTTAACTTTTTGCAAAAAACTACAAAAATGTAAAAAACTGACTTTCAAGGGCAATAACTCATTTAAGGAGTCAACAGACGATTTTGGCCATGTTGACTGAATGGTAGATTTTGTCTGGCTGTTCATTTTTGCTTCTTACAGTTTCTCTTCATCTACTATAGTTACGTAAAAATTATGATCAAAATTCTTCTTTCAAGGATAATAACTCCTATAATGAGGCAACTGACAATTTGGACCATGTTGTCTCGATAGTAGATCTTATACTGCTACTCATTTTTGCCATAAGCAGTTTCTCTCTATACAGGTATATTATAGTTGACACAAAATAATATTGGTAAAAAACGTCTCTCAAGTGCAAAAACACCTGTTAGAACAACTGACAATTTCAGCAATCTTAACTTATAAGTAGATCATGTTTTGCTGATATTTTTTTTCAGTTACAATTTCCCTCTTTCTATATAGATATAAAGATAATAGCCAAAATTACAGTGAAGAAAATTTAAGTAAAAATTAAAGAACCTTTGTGAGCACACTCACATACCCCAAGCCCCCAACATAGTCACTGGACAAACAAAATCTCACCAGATTCCTAAGTTCAAAGACTCATAACTCTACAAAAGTCAACTGATAAAAATTTTCTTGTGGATATGCACATTAACATATTATGTCCTCATTAACAACAAAGTTTCATGAAATTCTGTTGTGTGGTTTCAGAGGAGTTGTGATGAGAAACTGTTGCAGTAGTATATTGAGGCCAATAAGTTCAAAGGGGCATAACTCCAAGAAAAAATACTGAATCATAATTTTCTTTCGATATGCACATCTACATAGTATGTCCTTATTATCTACAAAGTTTCATGAAATTCTGTTGTGTGGTTTCAGAGGAGTTGCGATGACAAACTGTTGCAGTAGTATATTGAGGCCAATAAGTTCAAAGGGGCATAACTCCTAGAAAAAAAATTGAATCATAATTTCCTGGCGATATGCACATTTACATAGTATGTCCTTATTATCTACAAAGTTTTAATGAAATTCTGTTGTGTGGTTTCAGAGGAGTTGCGATGACAAACTGTTGCAGTAATATATTGAGGCCAATAAGTTTAAAGGGGCATAACTCCTAGAAAAAAAATTGAATTATAATTTCCTGTTGATATGCACATCTACATAGTATGTCCTTATTATCTACAAAGTTTCATGAAATTCTGTTGTGTGGTTTCACATAACACGTTAAAAATATTTGATCAGCACTTATTTTCGAACTTGCCTGAGACATTGCTAATATGATGAATTTTATATTAGATAAACCTATGATATAAGTTTTTAAAAAATCTGGCAATAATTGTATATGTGAGAGCGCTAACAAAGCAATTTTTCATATCATCAAATATTTCCAAGGGGCATAACTCTTTTAAAAACAATTGATCGGCACTGATTTTCAAACTTGTCCGAGACATTGCTGATATAAACCTATAATATTAATTTCATTAAAGTCTTAGAAAAATTGTACAAATGAGAGCACTAACGATCCAATTTTCAATATAATTAATGTTTCCAAGAGGCATAACTCTTTTAAAAATAACTGATCGGCACTGATTTTCAAACTCATCCGAGACATTGAAACAGTTGATATAAACATATAAGTTTCATAAAAATCTGGCAAGAATTGTACAAATGAGAGCGCTAACAATGCAATTTTCAATATAATTAATGCTACCAAGGAGCATAACTCTTTTAAAAATAATTGATCAGCACTGATTTTCGAACTCTTCTAAGACTTAGTTGATATAAACCTAAAATATAAGTTTAATAAAAATCTGGCAAGAAATGTACAAATGAGAGCGCTAACCATGCAATTTTCAATATAATTAATGTAATCTATGATATAAGTTTTATAAAAATCTGGCAAGAATTGTACATGTGAGAGCGCTAACAAGTCGGATGGGCAGACAGACAGACAGACTTACACCCGGTATTTTTATGTTCCCTGCAATGCGTCGTACGGGGGACAAAAATGATTCAGGACAGACAGATTGAGGAGTATACAGACTTATAGACAAACAGATGGACGTGGCATAGACTGGAAAACAAAATGCCCCCAACTATTCCAAGCATGCAATGAAAATAAAAAAGCCAAAACTGATTTATAAGATATAGAAAAATAAATAGTCACAGCTGCATTAGATATTACTAAATAAACAGGAAATTGAGTTGAGTTAAATTCAGGTATGGAAATAGTCAGTCAACTTACCATTCTTGCCCATATAGGCAAAAATCCTTTATATAAAGCAAAGAAACCTTCCTGTCTGACTGTCTTAACCAAACAATCCAATGTACCTTTATATAAAGTACCTCTGGAAATAAAAAAGGATACAGACATATAAAAAATTCATTAAATGTGGTTTGCAATTAGCTTCAATATATTTCATTTGTAAATTCTATCATTTCATTTTATATGTGATAAGATTAACAAGCTTAATACTTTGTGTCTCTGTGAAGCCTGAAATTTGATTTGATAAATTATAGCAATTTCCACTTTAAATACATGATTTTAAGTTTGATCTATCCTAATTGACAGGTCCACAATTCATTGTGTAAAATCTGTAGCGTTGAAATATATTAATATTTCTGGGAAATGGAATTGAATGCAAAACTTAATTTTGGTTTGCCAAGAGTGAAATGTAAGTTATGGTGTTCAATATTATTATATTGTTATAGATATGAATTGCTATGTTTAATGAAAATTAAAACTGTAATATATTTGATAAACTAGCATATGGTTCCTGAAAAATAGACCAAAACTAAAAAATGTATCATTAATGTAGGTTAAGTGACTTAAATGTTATCAATATTGCACTATATAAGAGGATTATAGTGGTAAAAGATCAATGATATGCCAGCAATTGTTTTTTTATAAATACTTAAACATATAATTCAACCAAAATACGGATGGTTATAAGGACAAAGAAGAGTACTTAATCTTCTCAATTCTTGGCAGAGTTAACAAAAAACTAAAAAGTATTATACAATAAATTAAACACACAATAATGCATGTTTTCATGACAAAACATTTTAAACAACAGATTAACTTGAAAGGGTGCACTAAAACAAAATGAACTGTATTCAAGACCATATTTACCTTCCATTTTCTGTTGGTTGATTCATAATTCTAGTTTTGACTACATCAGCTGGTGTTCCAAGGGTAGCTGCAACTAATCCTGAGCAGGCACTGAAATTTATTCCACAAAATCACATAATAACAGTACTTTAAAAAAGATTTACTGTAGAGGTAAGACCATTTAAAATTATGTTTATCACGTTTTTGTGAGGTGGGTTGATGAAAAACAAGAAAGTGTTAAGTGTTGTTGGTGCAGCTTGTTGTTATGCCAACTAATTTCTACCATTTCCTTAACTATTTAACATAAGAAAAAAGAAACATTTACAAATCCTAAATATCTTGTCAAAAAGCTAAAGAGATTATGTTCTGTGGAAATTTCTGCTGTTGAAGAGAATTATCAAATTGAAATAAGACTAATTTATTATCCTAGATTTTTAAGATATGGACATAAATGTAAATGTCATATTTGATCAAAATCCCTCAAACATAAAATCTTTTTTAACCTGATTTAAAGAACAAAATGATTTTTTTTTACAAAAGGCCATCCATTATTGCTGCCACATATGCCAGCCAATTAGGAAACTTTGTTGTTTCAGAAAGAAAACCTTCATTTTACCTTGATATTGTATGTGTCACCCAGTTATCCTTTAGAGAGGTATTCCGTAAAATTCTCTGTTTCACTGTATCATATGTTGCTAGATCTGAAAAAGTAGTAGTGATACCAAATATACATTTCAATGAATAACCTGTTTTATATCCTTCTTTAAAATACTTAATCCAAATAAAATAGCACTTAGGTTTAGATTGATTGAGTTATTTAACCATATATAATAAGTTTTTCTCAAGTTATACCAAATTCTGGAAAATATAAAGATTTTATATTGCACCATATGTACATTGTTAGACATGTGATGCTTGTATCAATGTGGAGCTATTGAGCAAATAATATGATTTGGTTAAATCCATCAACAAAAACCCTATTACAAATCAAGTTTTGTGATGTAGGGAATTGAACATTTTATACCAGTGATGCAATAATAAATATTGTTTGTACTGATGGGAAAATCATTTGAGAAAGGTGCTATTGAAGTTTTATACATTGTTCTGGGAACAGTTTATTTTGCATATTTTCCAACTACATGTATCAAACAAACCAATAAATGGACTAAATTCTTCATTCCCTATCAACCTCAGTAAGGGGATCTTATACTTAGGGCAACAACTCCTGATCAACATGATACAACACAACAAGCTTACAAAATAAAATCCTTGGGAATATAAAACTTAGATCTTCCCTTATACAAATACATTTAAAAAAATCATTAAAATAAACGCTTCTTCCTATTTACCTCCCATATTAACTAATGCTGCTCTCTGTACATTTGGCACAACACCTCTATAGAGGCCTCTAAAGCCTTCCTCTGTTATTATCTTTCGAAACGCCTGAGCTGTATTCTTTACTCTGAAAATTGAGTAACATCTTATAGAAATATAACATGCCTACCCATGTTAAAATGAGCAGAGAGCAAGACATGAAAGAGCTATTTCTTAACTTTAATATTCATTTTTAAACCATAGTTATTATTGATTTAAATAATCAACACTCAAAACTGTAAATATGACAATAAAATTGGCTCACCTTGGAGGTTTACCTTCTAACCTTCGTCGACCTTCCATTTGCATCTGTACTTTGACTAGATCTGCCGGACTAGCAATGAATTGACCCATAGCACCTGCTGTAAGACCACCTAATGATGATTTCCTATTTAAATATATTTTCAAATGGCAAAACAAACCAGGCAATATTTATTCTATATAACTTGGGAATGATGACTTTAAATGACACATGAACATGATGAACTCTAATCACGTTATCTGCATTTTAAACAGAATGTTTTTCTTCCCAACATCACTTTCAAATCAAAAACTTCTAGTGGTACAATATAAAAATCGATAGTATCTTTTAAGGAATAGGGTTTTTAAGAATAGACAAGTTTACTGAGACAACATTAAATCTATTTTTAGAAATATTAATTGTTAAACTCAAATACATACCATATGGGAAAGCTGCCATCTGGATTTCTCTTTAGAACTTTTTCCCTGATGATTTCATAAATAGACATTCGACATCCTGTGTACACTGTATGTGGAAAAACATTGATTCAACTAGAAAGTTCAAATTATTCTTGCAATTGTACATTTTCAACTTATATTTATAACATCTTGTAACTGCCCAAAAGTTGTCTTGTTTTATCTTGGACACTGTTTCTAATATAACTATACAAGCGCTTTACACACCTGTCTCAATATAATACACTCATACGCTTAATCTACTGTTTATACAGCTAATAAATATAGGTTTCATAGCGAGTGAGAATTAGATATTGCTTGAAATCAACTAGAGTTATTTAATTTCATTATAATTAATTAAATAACGAGAGTTGACATGAAGCTATGATACAAGTCTCACCAGTTGTTAAACCTATTTCTCTCATTGTCAACACTCTCATTGTGTTATTAAATAGAAAAGTCTGTGATTGGTTGATCTAGTATTTTGCATATACCACTATGATGTCATATGTCCTGTTTCAGCATCAAACTTTAACATCAGACATTTTAAAACTTTTGTATGCTTCAGAATATAATAAAATTTGACAAAAATAATAGTTTCAGGTGAAAATTGTGAGTGTTTTGTATATCATTGAAGAAATCACATATCTCCGTTGCCATGGAGGAAATGTACATCGTTTTGACCTTTGAAAGACATCAAATGATATACAATTATTAGGAAATGTCGCAATATTGTTTCATGGTGCTGGATGACCCAATCAAATTAATGCCTTTTTTCGTATCAGTGCAGAGTGATATGAAAAATATCACTTCATGTGAAAAATAGATAACAGGTCACAACTGTAAGAGAATATGCATTATATAAGAATATGTGTCCATAGGAAACAATGCCCTGCTTGCATTAGCTCTTTTAAATGTTCAGTGAACTGTGAAATTTAGGTTAAATACCTAATTTAGCATATTTATCAAAACATTCTCATCATATTGAATTTCAAGTAAATGTGATGACTTGATTAAATAATTAAATCAAAACTTCAACCTAAAATGAGATGATCATACGGACAGACACAAAGTCATCAAATTTAACCAATTAAAAGTTTTTTTAATCCATTCAATGGTTAAAAAGTTACTGCAGACAGATGAAACTTTCATGTGTTAGGACAAAAGGAGTGCCCTCTTCTTTAGCCGAATTGTGAAAAGTTTAATCGACCAGAAGAAAATATGAACTCTATCTGTAAGTCATCATTATACACAAATGTACTAAGAACAAGCTTCAGATACAAAGGCACTACTAAAATAGTCCGTACAAGTACAGCTTCATAATATTTTCTATTATAATAGTGTCAACAAGAACGAAACACAAACTCAATCTGTCAAGTCATTATCATACACAAATGCACCAAAAATCAGCTCAAATACAATTTTCATAAAATATTCTAAGTCACTGATCCTTAATTCTGTGAAGCATTTTTTTTTAAATTTAAACTTTTATATGGGAAAACTTCTTACCAATATGTCTGTACAGAGCTGGAGTGAGACCTTGAAATATCTTGGTAGCACCTTCTTCTCTTACTGGAAATATATACAGGTATATCAACTTGACTTATAATGAAAAACATAGGGGCAACATCACTTGTAATGTGTATAACAGACAATTTAAAGACTTGCAAAATATATTTTTCTGAAGTATTTGTTCCTTAACTTAACAGCATCATTTAACATTTTTGTATATATGATGCACTCTTTATTGATTTTAACCTCATGAAATGTTACCATTCCTATGTTGTTAAAAACTGTTACCATTGTATTGTAATCTGAAGAGTGCCATAGGTATGAAAACGCCAAAGACTATTTTAGTACATCCTAGTGTTGAAGGTGAAATGTATGCATTGTGGAACTATTTTATAATAATTATATACATTTGTACACCATTGAAATAAGTATAAGATTGTTAAAACATGTACTGGAACAATTTAAGAAAAATGCATGTGTGCATGTATGCTTACTTCATGCGGTATGGGTTTTGCTCATTGTTGTGACCTATAGTTGTTAATTTCTGTATTATTTGGTCTCTTGTGGAGAGTTGTCTCATTGGCAAATATACCACATCTTCTTATTTTTATATTTACTTCATTTGTTTGCATGAAATCATTGAATCTTTCTCATCATTTCAATGCATAAATAATGGTAACATTTCATGTGTTTTATAATGTTGTTAATCATACCTTAAAAAGAATAATATAGCATAAATCTGTCAGAAAAATGGCACAGATGTTTTATGAAAAAAATACAGATATTTTTGCAGTTTAAGTTATATCCCTTAGTCTGGTACAAGTTTGAAACAAGTACTAAAAACAAATTGCTTTATAAAATAAAAAAAGCAAAGTGATATGTGAATTCTAAGACCAGGAAAGCTCAGGAAAAAATATATTGTCCAATTCATTAGTTTCTGTGAAACAAACTCATGATGGTAAATAACAACTAGAGTATTCAAAAAATCTAATAAATGAAAAAGAGTTACCTCCAATTATACACAAATATTAATGTAAGTATGAACAGAATATTTATTAAATATGACAAACAAATGAAAAGAAGTGTGACATCTGAGAAGAAGCACTTAAACATCTTTTCCTGTTGTTTTATTGGCCATTGGGAAACTTAAAATTTTAGTTGGAATGTCTACTAAACGGGCAATCTTGAGTTGTTTTTTATGAATGAGTTACACTGGTTGACCCGAGGTCAATCGACCTAAATAACGTCATCCAACAATAGATTCTTACCATGACGAAATAACATAAGCATTGTGACTTGGGATATTTTTGGGAAAGTGCATGAATTTGAAAGTCGTCTCTATTGTAAAAGTCAACTTTGCTTAAGCAAGTTACAACTCAGTTCTAGTACAATTACATAACTAATAAATGGGGAATGTGTCCATGGGACACAGATGATGCCCCCGCTTGCATATAACGTCATCAAGGGATATAACTCAAAAACTGTAAAAGTGATGTACCCAAATTTGTACTTGATCTGGAAGAAAAACTAAGTCCATTTATAAGTAAAATACGGAAAAAATGGAACAAAATTTCCTTCTAGATACTAGCTTTTAATCATAAACAAGCTTCTGTTCAAGTGTGGTACAAATCCAGGATAGTTTGAGAAAGTTGTTAAAATTTTAAAAACTTTAACCACAGAGTGAATGTAATGTTAACTGGCAGAAAAACTAAGTCCATTTATAAGTAAAATACGGAAAAAATGGAATTTTTTTTTTACAAAATGTACTTCTGGATACTATCTTATGATCATAAACAAGCTTCTTTCCAAATTTGGTACAAATCCAGGATAGTTTAAGAAAGTTATTAAAATTTCAAAAACCTTAACCACAGAGTGAATATTTGTGGACGACGACGCCGACGGAATGTAGGATCGCTATGTCTCGCTTTTTCAACAAAAGTCGAAGGCTCGACAAAAATGTTCAGCAAAGTAAGATCTACAAATAAGTTTATATGACCAAAATTATCAATTGACTCCTTAATGAGTTAGTGCCCTCTAAGGACAATTTTACACAATTTGTTTATCATGTTTTCTAACTTTAAAAAAATCTTCTCCTCTGAAACTATTAAACCAAACTTAATCTGAATGATTCTTAGGTTATCTAGAATAAAGTTTGTGTTATATTTTCTGATGCCTCAGAAAACATGGCCGCGCTAAAAATAGAACATAGGGTGAAATGCAGTTTTTGACTCATATCTCAAAAACTAAAGCATTTAGAGCAAATCAGACAAGAAGTTAAAGTATTCATTAGGTCAAGGTCTACCTGCCCTGAAATTATCAGCCAAATTGGGTATCTGATTTTTAGGTTATTGCCCCTGAATTGATGATTTTAAGGAAATTTTGCAGTTTTCGGTTATTATCTTGAATATAATTATAGATAAAGATAAACTGTAAAGAGCAAAAATGTTCAGCAAAGTAAGATCTACAAATAAGTTTCTATGACAAAAATTGTCAATTGACCCCTTAAGGAATTATTGTCCTTTAAAGACAATTTTTCACAATTTGTTCATCTACCGACATGTAGTTTGCTTACTTTAAAAAATATTCTCCTTTGAAACTGCTGAATCAATTTCAGCCAACTTGGGGTAAATGAGTTTCAGAGTACCTAGTATAAATTTTGTATTTTATTTCCTTGTGCGTCAAGAAACATAGCCACTATGGCTAAAATGGAACAAAGGGGTAAAATGCATTTTTTTGCTTTTGAAGAAAATATGACAGATCTGAGTTTTGTGGTAATAAGCATTTTGCATAAGTTTCATAACATTTGGTTGAGGCAAACTAAAGTTAGAGAACAGAAACAAATATTTCAGGAAGTTTTCCATTTGTAAAGGGGCATAACTCTGGAACGGTAAAAGTGATGCCACCAAAATTCAAACTTGATCTGTGTTTTGTGGTAATAAGCATTGTGTATAAGTTTCATAATATTTGGTTGAGGCAAACTTAAGTTAGAGAACGGAAACCAATTTTGAGATGTACGGACGTACGTACGGACGTATGTACCTACATACAGATGGACAAGGGTAAAACTAAATGGCCATAACATTTGGTAGAGGCAAACTAAAGTTAGAGAACAGAAACCAATTTTGAGACGTACGTACGTACAGACGGACAAGGGTAAAACTTAATGCCTCCTCCGCTACGGCTGGGGCATAATAAACTGATAGTTTACAGTAAAAATGTGCCACCAAAGCCTGTGATAGGTCCAATTACCTATACCAATCACTGTGCTGACCATTCCCCTCTTCTGGACTGTAATACTGTTTCCTTCCACATTTTTCTCACCCTGAATCATTAATCTGGTTTTTGTTAGATCTAATGGATATGTCACTGTAGAAAAGAATAATTTATCTATTAAAATCAAAATACATACTCAAATTCTTTTATTATGTAGTCAATTCTGCTCCTTATCCTCTAACTAATTCCAATACTATATGTTTTCTGTGAAGACTCCAACAAAATGTTTATACTTATTTAGTAATTGACCCTTTAATCTGTGACTAAATCTTGTAGGTTCAAGGTTTTCTGAACACATTATTATAGGTTATCTACTCAAGTTGCATTGTTACAGTGCAGGATGAAACTATACTACAGAGTCCAAATGATGTGGATGGAAGCATTTAATGGCTACTGTACAGCTTCAACAATGAGCAAAACCCATATCCTATAGTCAACTATAAAAGGCTCTGACATTACAAAATGTGAAAACAATAGACCACTTTCGAGTTCGTTGCATTTCAGTCAAAAAGTTTTGTTTTAGTGAACATCATTCATGCATATAGGGGCATCATCACGTCCTTCCCATGTAGAGTGAGCGGTTGAGAAAAATATGATGCTATATTTTAAACGAATTATTAGGCAAATTAAATTCTTATAATTGATAATCAGCACTTCTGTCATTAGGAAATTGTCATTAAGTACCCTACGAAATAAACATTATTTCTAGTTTATCCTGCATAATAATGATTACATAGACACTTGATGAACTTTAATAGTGCAGGGATACAGGTTTTCCACTCTATCTGGTAAATGACATCATAAAGGCGCACATAATTGACAAACTTTTCAGGTGAAGGACATAACTCGAAAGTGGTCTATTCAAACAATGAAAACCAACAGCCTGATTCAGACAATACAATACAAAATTGATTTGATAGACATCCACCAACGGCAACCACCTATTACAGGCTCCTGACTTGGGACATACACATTAAGAATATGACAGTGTTAAACATGTTTGTGAGCGCTCAATTCTCCACCTAACCTTGGACAGTGGTGTAACAGCATAACATAAGAAAAAACTTTAATAAAATGCTTCGCTGGGGCGCAGCTTGATACGACCGCAGAGGTCGAACCCTGAACAGTTGGGGCAAGTATGGACACAAAATTCAAGCTTGATACAGCTATGACTTTGGATTGTCATTAAATATTTGACACAGCATAGGTTTCTGACACAGGATGAATGTGGTGTAAGAACTGGAAAAAATTTAATTTACCTATTATGGTGGAATATCCATAAACTAAATTGTTTGTTAATTTCAATATATCAAAGAATATGTAGAATTCAATGTTTGATGTAATGTAATAAAGTTGAAATTTGGACCGTTTTTGTTCAATGTGGACCAATTTGGTAACATGTATAAATAATCAAAAATCTAAATACATGGGAGCCCATTTAAATACATCATAAAGGTATTAAAATAGAAAGTGACATCATAGTCATGGCTAAAAATAAACAAAAATCCTTAATCAGCAACATTTAAAGTAATATCTAAAAATAAAATTCCTTTGTAACCATAAAAGCCCATTTAAATACATCATAAAGATATTAAAATAGAAAATGACATCATAGTCATGGCTAAACATAGCAAAAAACCCTTAATCAGCATCATTTAACAGTAATATCTAAAAATGGAAATTACATCATAAGGTATTAAAATAGAAAATGACATCATAGTCATGGCTAAAAATAAACAAAATCCTTAATCAGCATCAGCAACATTTTATAGTAAATCTAAAAATAAAATTCCTTTGTAACCATAAAAGCCCATTTAAATACATCATAACAGATATTAAAATAGAAAATGACATCATAGTCATGGCTAAACATAGCAAAAACCTTAATCAGCATCATTTAACAGTAATATCTAAAAATAAAAATTTCTTTGCAACCATAAAAGTAAAATAGAAAATGACATCATAATCATAGCTAAAAATAAACAAAAATTTTTTTTATTGGCAAATTTTAAATGGAGTTTATTATACTAAAACAATAAACTTGCAACCATAAACATGATAAAACCCCATTAACACACATCATAAAAGTATTAAATAATTCAACTACATCATAAGGCTATAAAAATAGAAAATGACTTCATAGTCAAGGCTAAAGGTAAACAAAAAACCTTCATCAGCAAAATTTTATATTGGCAAATTTCCAATGAAGTTTATTACACTAAAATTGTTGGCAAATTTCCAATGCATTTATTAACAATAAAGTTATTGGCAAATTTCCAATTTACATAATTTAAAAGCAGTGTAGATGAGATATTTAAATGAGTTTGAATTACCAACCTTACACTGCTTTTAAATAATGTTCTTTACTCAATTATTTGTCTATTAAAATGGAAACCCTTGTATTTAACCTTTTTTCCCCTTATTCCTTAAACATTAGAGCAATAACCACCCCCCCCCCCCCCCCCCAAAGCCAATTATTACTTTCCAATGTAACCTAAATTTCCAATATACATAATTTTAAATTTCAATTCCTCATGATATATAACCGTATCATTATTATTTTCTTTCATATATAAATCTGAAACAACCATCTTTAAATGGAAAATTTTAAAGAAAAAAAAAAATCCTACCTCCCACACATTTTTTCAACCCCCTTTTGATTCATCATCCCCCACCTCAATCACAACCTTCAATTTGTGGTATGGTACATTGCAATACAATTTCACAGAGATCCATACACTTGAACACAAGTTTTTGTTGCAAACTAAAAAAATCCTTATTTTTGACCAATATTTGGCCCCTTATTCATAAATGTTTGAGCAATTAACCCCAAAACTCAATTCCTACTTTCTCTTCGTGATAAAAAATAACTAACTTAAAATGTAAATTTTAAACAAAAAAAAAAGGAAACAAAAAAATTACCCCTTTTTTGACCCCCGCCCCCCTTATGATTCATCACCCCCACCCCCCTTTCCCCCAAACCAAGCTCAATAACAGCCTTGCCTTTGTGGTATGGTACCTTGTAATACAATTTTAGAGAGATCCATACACTTGAACACAAGTTATTTTGTCTAGAAACTAAAAAATGCTTATTTTAAACCCCTTTTTAGGCCCCTTATTACTAAACGTTTTGGGCAATTACCACAACACTCAATTCCAGCTTTCCCTTTGTGAAATGGAACCTTGTAGTAAAATTTCAGAAAGATCCATACACTTACACACAAGTTATTGTCATGAAACTAGAAAAATGCTTGTTTTTTGCCCCCTTTTGGCCCCTTATTCCTAAAATTTTGAGGCAATTAACCCCAAAATCAATCCCAGCATTGACCCTTTGTGATATGGAATCTTGTGGTACAATGTCAAAGAGATCCATATGCTAACACACAAGTTATGTCTGGAAGTTACAAAAATGCTTATTTTCGGCCCCTTTTTGGCCCCTAATTCCTTAACTGTTGGTACCATAACCCCCAAAATCAATCCCCACCTTCCTATTGTGGTATTAAACCTTATGGTAAAATTTCATAGAGATCCATTCACTTAAACTAAAGTTAGAGTGCGAAAACCATTTTGTATTCGGACGACGACGCCGGACGACGACGACGACGACGCCAACGTCATACCAATATACGACCTCAAAATTTTTTTGCGGTCGTATAAAAATCAGTTGGAAATGGCCTAACCAAACAGGTATGGAGCAAAAAATAAAATAAAAAAAACAGCTACAATGTAAAATAAAAACAAGACACCAATCTAAAAGTAATTGTAGTTTATTCGTGAAATTTTTATATATATATAATTGATTTGTCTGTACTTATGTTTTTTTACCTATAGTACTGGGCTTATAGAATTAAGTACTTTTTTTATTTACTGATTATTACTGTACCTGCTCAAGATTACAAGGGTAATATATAAAAATATTTGTTGAGTTAAGATGCTTTGATGCTGTCTTGATGCTTGTTTTCTTCTTTTTACAAATTTCTGATATATGCATGTGTTGATCAAATTTAATTAATAATCTATTGTGACACCAAGTTATTAAATATATATATACATCATTTTCAGATACAATCAAACAGCAGATATACACAATATTAGTAGGAGGCCCCGTTTAGTCAAAATTATTGTATTTAAGGGGCTCCTGAAATTTCAGGATATCCTAAAATCGATTTCATGATATCCTTAAAAGACATCCTGAATTGAATTATGGAAGTCCTGAAATATTTTAGAATACCCTGAAATCAAATTATGGAGGTCCTGAAAAATTTCAGGAGCACCTTAAATACAATAATTTTGACTAAATACATGCCTCGTATGTTAGAACTACAAGGTCTTCAAGATATTATGCTTGTAATTTATTTAATGAGCTGCAAAACCATTTCAGACTAGAGACAAATTTGAAACTGTTTACCAAATTAATTTCTACATGGAATGGCAGCTCATGCCAATGTTGTGCATGCAGAATTTCAGTGGTTTTTCTTATGCTTTAATTTAGTGATAGCAGGCTTATCTGCTTGCTGCATTACTGTTTTTTTTTTTCTTTCTTTTATTTATCTAATCATGTTAACCATGCTGCTTTTGTGGTATTTTGTGATTTGTCCTCATTTAATGCACATTGCTTTTATCTTAAATGTACTGAATTGTTTTATGTAGTTGATACAAAAGATCTTTAGAGCTTATATATACAAGAGAGGTGAAAGATACCAAAAGGGACATTCAAACTCATAAGTCGAAAACAGACTGACAATGCCATGGCAAAAAACAAAAAAAGACCAAAAGACAAACAACAATATACAAAACACAATATAGAAAACTAAAGACTAGGCAACACAAACCTCACCAAAATCTTGGGTACTACCTACTGAAGGTTCCAGTCAGGTGCTACGTAAGGGTAAGCAGATCCTGATCCACATGTGGCACCTGTTGTGTTGCTCATGTAAGTACAAACCCGGTAATAAGTCCAATTCGGTAAGTCACATTCGAGGAAAAGATGATTGGATTTTGGTTAAGATACAAAATGTAACAGTCACTCAACCAAAAATGGTGTCCGTAAAATTTTTCAAAGGGATGATTTCAACTTCATCAATTGGAACTCATGGTTTAATAACTATCTTGTGAGCAGCAAACCTCTATCAAGAAAATCATGATAGGAAAAACAATCTCTGGAATATCGTATCAACTGGGAGATATAATAAACTCCATATCAAGACTCTGCTGGAATGTTGCTACATAGAATTGGAAAGTTCACAATTGGGAAGCTGAAATCATCTCTTTTGTTGTTAAGTTTTATTCTCAACAAACCCTCATTGCCAATTTCTAGATGTACATGTAAGTCAAGATCTACATGAGGCATGTATGTTATTTGTAAATTTTGCACATCGACTTTAAATTATACTTTTGACAGACTTTTTTTAATCACATCAAAAACAAACCTGAGAGGGAGGGTTGGCACGCCGACAAACATGTTTAACCCCACCAAATTCTGCATGTGCCTGTTAAAAAGTCAGGAGACTGCAATTCAGTGGTTTTTGAATTTTTTATATTTTCAATTTTTTTTTATGTTTTAAAATCTTAAAAAAGAGGATATTTTGTTCTGATTTAAATACTGTTCTGTTCTGTTTGGTTTGACATTCAAATTGAAATTCATGTTTTTATGGCAGTTGTTAACTATAAGACAAAGACATTTAAACCTAGACTTGGAGTTTGTTCTACATGGTTAGCTGGCATGTCACCAGGAACAATAGTGCCTCTATGGGTAAAGAAGGGGACTATAGCCTTTCCCACTGGCCAAGCTTGTCCTGTTGTTATGGTGGGTCCAGGTATGGTGGTCACGACCTTCAACCAAGAGTTGAAAATTAAAACCTCCCAGTGAGGTGTAGTTTAAAATGATATGGCAATAACGGTTTACTGTAAATTCAGAAATGTTTGCATTTTTTTTATTATTGCCAAAAATTGCAATAAAAACCTCCTCCAGCTCTTTTCTTCACAAAATAAAGATGGTTGTCAACTTGTCAGTCCACTGATCAAGATTCAAAGCGGTAGGGTTGAGATCTCTCAAAAAACTAGTTTAAGCCTGCCACATTAAGTTTCATGTGTCTTTCAAAAATCTGGGTGTTAGTCCTATTTTCATGATTTTGGGGGTGAGTTGTCATGGATTCCCTATGTTATATCTTACTCATAATACTGTTGTTTTTTTTTTTTTATTTGAAAAATTTAATGTTGGTAGCTGATCTTTGATTTTGATAATTTTGATTTAATTCAATAACCACATCTGAATCTGCATCAGTCAAGGTGCTATATCTAATGACAATTATGCTCAACCCATGTGTCAAGTGCCTAAAATGACCCAGGATGATATAGAGTTTGGCAATATTGTTGAAGACTGTATATTGACTTATAGATGTCTTTGGCTATTTGTTTTGTTGCATCAAATCTTTTCACTACACAGCTGCAAAAATTTGGAATAAACTACCCCAGAGTTTTTGAGAAGAAAACAATTTCAAACAATTTTCTAAACTTATTGTTACCTGGAATGGTAGTTCATGCCAATGCAATGCCTGCAAATAATTAATGGTTTAATTTCTAGTGCTTTTCTGCTTAATATGCTACAATTCTCCATTCTCAATTTTATAACTGCTTTAATATGTGTTTTAAACTGCTTTATATGCTTTTAATAATGATTACTTACTGTACTTTTAATATTTCTGCATAGTATAACATAATTTACTTCTGCATGTCATTTATATCATATATGTATGGTTCATGTAATGATTTCATTTGCTTTTATTATGTAACACTTGTGTGTTTTGACTTGTATGCTTGCTTGTTTTTAAAGGTGCTTGTTTTAAATTTTTTGTTTGTAATGAGACAATATAAAAGCTCAATAGAGTTTATGTTTTCTGTATACAAATATTTGTCTATAATTAAAGCTTTTGAACTTGAACTTGGATTATTTTGCTGTCTCATTGACTTGTACCTTTCATCATCTAATGTGTGATGTAATGTTTAAAATGACACCAGAGCCACCATATAGCAACACACCTGTTTCTGCTACAACTGCAGCAACCGCTGAAAGTGTGTATTTGAACCAGAATGAATCTGCATACACTAATGCTGACTGACGATCTCCTCCTGTCATTGTTGACAATCACTGACCACAAACACGTGTAATACAGCTGTTCCCCCTACGTTCAAAGGTCACTTCCTGTTTACATTTGCAGCTGATGTAAATTTTTCAAACCAATGTCATGCAACTTCTGTTATCACACTTAATAATATACGACTGACTAAACAAAGAGTTTGACATTGCTGTTTTGGCAAGGAGTCCTACACAACAGAAACTCGAAAATGATTTTTGTAAAACCCAAAATGCTAACACCGAATAGATACGAATAATTACGGGTCTTTTTTCTGTCGACTAACATGACTAAGGAAAAAGTGGTAGAGCTGAAATGAGGCCTGCAGATAACTCTTAAATACTTTTAAAAAGCCAAAAGATCTGTTAGTGTACACCTAGGTCTCTTTTATCTTGCCAGGGTATAAAACAGCTTTTGGCGTTCCTGATGAAGGTAAATCCCGAAAGGCGCCTAAATTCGGACGCATGAAATTTATTAAGTGTTTTTTTTCATCATTTTTTACAGCGGGTCATGATACTGCTGCTAGTGGACTATCGTGTGTACCTGATTTTTAGTGTAGTAGTTCACTTTGAACCGGCCGGGGATTGAACACACGACATCCTGCACTCAAGGCGACCATGCTACCACGGGATCAACTATTTTAAAGAGGCATACGATACGAAAGGCGACAAAAGATAATCCTAAGTCGAAGAAAAAATACCCCACCATATAGCCTATAAGAAAAACGACGAAAAGACAAACGAAACTCTACAAAACATAAAACAGAAAACTAACTTCTGAGCAACATGACCCCCCCCCCCCCCAAACAAAATAAACTGAGGAACAAATCATGGTAACAAATGATAACCAAATCGTATGATTTCTTTATGATTTGAAAGTGATAAAATTTCACATGCAAATGAGCTTACAAATCACAACAACAAATCACGAACAAATTGCTTCCAATTTATAAGCAAATCGCAAAAACAAATTGTCAAGAAATTGTTTTGAAATCTTTAACAAATCAGACGTCATTGCTTTCCTATTTCAAGCAAATCACAAACAAATTGTTTTCAAATTGTAAAGAACTATAAACAAATTATTATCAAATCTTTAACAAATCAGAAGTAAATCATATTCCTACCTCAAGCAAATCACAAACACATTGTTTTCAAATTGTAAAGAAACTATAAACAAATTGTTATCAAATCATTAACAAATCAGAAGTAAATCACATTCCTACCTCAAGCAAATCACAATCAAATCGTCAATAAATTGGTATCAATCATTAATTCACAGATTAAATCATTTACATCTAGATCAAAAATATTTTCTGCCCCTGAGACCCCCAAACTTTGAAGTGCACTTGTCTTCATTTTACCTTAGCTACTCCTCTGATTGTTATTAATGTTAAGGGATTACTATCTCTGCATGGTTGCCATGAGGGACGAATTGTTCCCTCTGTGAAAGGTTTCTCTTACTTCTCCCGAATTTGACTCTAACAAGATTTGACAAACACATAGGCAACCACGTTCACTAAAAGGGTGTTGTCAGTTGAATAGGCGATAGGTCTTAGTCTGGGTCCAAATCTGCTAATGTAGATTTGCCCCTACTGCCCTGGACCTGGCCAGTAAACATCATGAAAAATTAAAACATAAAACTTGCCAGTGAATTTTGTCTGCTGACTCGGGAAGATAGTCTTTATTTGCATGTCTCGATCTGTTAAATTTACACATCTTTTACACATTTTTATTTTGAAAATTAATCCTGACAGTACAAAATTATATCGAGATACTGAAATGCACAGTTTCTGAATTTAAAAGGTTAACACCTTTAATATGTTTGAATAGAATTATTTGAATGTGTGAAATAATAAGTTAATGACTGAGATATTTACCACTGCATGTCATCATTGATAGTATATTTTTCTCTTCATCTTGCAACCTTCTTTGTTCAGTTAATATAGAACAGTATTTGAAATCTGAATTTGATCTCAACCGGATGTCAGAGATATAGATACACCCAGAAAATCTGAATGCAACAACATTGTATTCATTGTAACAAATCATCAATGAATCACACCATTTTAGCTAACAAAGTTAACAAATCTTTTTCAAATCATTTCATACGATATTCTAAGTAAACAAATCATAAAGAAATCATACAAAAACAGAAACAAATTGCTTACAAATCATACAATTGAAAGAAATCACAAAGAAATCAGTTTTGAGGAATTTGGCGAATTCTGATTTGTTTATAATTTGTTTAATGAATCGCAAGCAAATGGTACTAACAAATCGCAGAATCACGATTTGAAAGAGATTTGAATACGATTTGAAAGCAATTTGTTGATTTATTTTTCTGTTTGGGCCACCAGAACCGGTGTGATAGCAGGTGCTCCTGAATGGTAAGCAGATACTGCTCGTCGTCTTGTTCATTGCAAATAAGCATTCGGTTATGTCATTATTGAGAAAAAGAGACTGGAAGTGTGGCTACAACAATTGAAACATGTCCATGGTCAATTGTAAATTTTGATAGATAATCCAGAACAATCATGAATTATTGAAGTAAGAGGTCATCATTTATACAAGCGGAACGTCATTGAAGTTAAAGGATAATGCTAGCTTCTTTAAAGTTTTCTCGAAAAGCTGCTGTATGAAGCCATTCTCGTACGAATAAAGGAATAAGTATGCAAGAATAGGAGCACATTCGTTCCCATAGGAATGCCGATTGTGAATTAAAAAAAACCACACACGGTCTTCTAAGAGTAATAGCATGTTGTCTCTAACAAATTCAAGCATCTTGAAGATGTTAGGTTCAGCGTATATTTTGTCAGAATCAGTGATTGATTTTTTTTCACAGATGATTTATGCCTTCCTAAAACAAAATATTTGTTTACAGTAATCAGGCAGGCTGCGTTGGCCATTATTTTTTTTTTATGAGACGCAGTTGTATGGAAGGGAATATCCGCCATAATTATACATTTCTAATTCTTTTAATCTTTATTTCTGTAAGTTTAGAATGATATACTAGTGTAAAGGGAAGAGAAGTCAAAAAATGAAAACAACAGTTTATAAATTTCAGTGCGTCCGGAGCGCTTTTCTGGATTTACCTTCATCAGGAACACTCAAAGCCGAATGTTTGAATGACAAGGACGTGTAAGAACCGAAACAGTTGAAGAGGTATAAAAAGGACTTAAACAATTGCAAAATCCATCTAAGGTCATCTTTGCCCGAGGGAGTTGAAACCTTAGTTTCTTTATGATTTCTAAATGTAAATACAGACAATCTTTGAAAAGTTTATTATAAACGTAAGTACTGACTACTGAGCTGACTCACGCTGCGATTCATGGTTTATATCATGTCCTCGTCCTGATATACATGTAACATTTGTCACTGGACGTAAAACATCTTTCTATCTGTCTATCTATCATTTAAATGAGTAGATAATGCCAAGTTGGAAGATAATGGTCAGCCATAAATTGCCACGAGACAGTCCAAATATATATTTCTACCAGTAAAAATAAATAAATCCAAGGTTACAGGTTTTTGAGTAAGACATGAAGCAATTTAGAACTGATCCCCAGAAAGAAGGCGACATCTGTATCTAGAACGATTGTGATAAAGAGTAATATCAGAGCACTCTATCTAACATTCGGAGATCCATCATTGAACAACCAGATCAAATAAAAACTTTAATACATATTAAGTAGTAAATACAAATAAATTGTGTGTGTTATACTAAGCCATGATTTTGAAAACTAAAGAGACATAACTGTTTCGTGTACAACAGGAACAGTACTTCAACATATACGGTACATCTGCTACCTACCTTCAGTCATCTATACAGTTTGGCTTCACCAAGAATACTTCCATATTACTGTCAGCTCTACTATTTAACGAATCTATTGTAGAAATAAAGGAACTCAATCTTACACTATACTAGTATATAAATTTTCTGGACTTTCAAAAGGCATTAGTTGTCGACGATCATCAGTCTTTAAAACTATATTCTTAAATGGAATTAATGGCAAGTCATGGATGCAAACTTAACTTCAGTTGTAAATTGAAACGGATGTCTTAGTGAAACTTTTCCCATCAAACATAATATGTCAAGATGGTACCGGTATTTTATCTACTGGACTATACAAAAAATACATAACTGACCTTCTCAGAATCCTAGAACATAACAAACTGGGAACACATATCGGGTCAATAAATGATAGATATCCGACTGCTGCTATATATTTTGCCATAGTAGCCAGCTCTGCATCCGATTTTCCATTGATGTTGAATGTGACAATCTAGTTCGTTTGTGTGGTAGAGTCGAATTTAGTATATTTTTGGTAATAGTAAATTTGAACATATTGGTTAAATTTATTGGAATAAAATGATTTTCATACTATTGATATTATTAGTTACAAATTGAATGGTATTTAATTTGTTCAGTCTGAATACTGTTATACTGACCAGTTTACTTGTTTGTCTATGTTACCTTGATTTCTATATTTAGAATCTTAATTAAAGCTATATTTCTTTATGGATAGTGATTTTGGTCACATGTGCTTTTTGGAGGGAAATTTCTATTGTTCTGGACACTCTTATTTCAACTGTCTTACTGACCAGTTATATTCCACAATTCTGGAGTTCGTAAATTTACTTGATTATAATATATATTGCTGAATCTTTGGGAATCTTAATTACTACTTTACAGGTCAGTTGTATATACTTTTCTCACATTATTTTAATAGTCCTAGAGTTTTTAACAGAGTATGCAAGATTTGGTTAGATTGATTGATTGAATGAAGAAATTAATCTGTAGTGTGATTCTGACCTTTATGAATGATAAATACAATTAATTAACCATAAAATGCTTTAAATCATTAAAGATTGATAAATTATTAAAATATTAAATAATCTTAAATAATAGATTATAATAGAGCATTGGAGTGAAATGATATTAAATAGAAAGAAAGAGTTTTCTTCTGTATAAGTAAGAAGTAAATAAATAGTTAAATATTCATTTTAAACCTTTATTATGTTTTAGTATCTAAGGGAACAGATTTTCTTATTTTTGGTATGTGTTCATATTATGAAGTCATATTGTAGACATGAAACACATTAGTTATAAATTCATATTTATCTTCAGGTTATTATTTGATGTAGCCAAACATGATGATAGTCTTGTGACCTTCAAATTAGCACTTGAGGTAAGCAAAGAGTTGTATTATGTTGT